GATATCCCCCCCCCCCTCGGGCCCATGAGGCAGGAAAAAACAACCCCGATTCAGAAAGTAACATCCCTTGCCATCGGCTGACCAACCTCAGGTTGCAATCCTTGAGTCGATCATCTCAGCGGCTTCCTTCATGAGTCCCGTCAGCTAACCCTCACAGTTCTGAACCAACCAGACCTAAACTGCCACAGACACTAAGGCCCAAACGATTACCGGTCTCAATTAGAGGAAACAGAGCCGACATGCCGACAACAACACGGACGATCGCAATTACGCTAGTGCAATACCACACTATCTACCCTTCCCTAGCTCCTTAGAAACTTTTTTGACCCTTCCTGATCCCCGTACGGATCTTGTGCTTTTAGTAGTATGGGACCCTACTACCTTCCACACCTATTCGTGCGTGTCCCGAGAATTGTCTTAAAGTCCCTAAGTCACTATACCAGACCACTATCAATCTCAGATAGTTGTACCACCATAGGCACACACTACCGCCCATCATAGACTCTCTCTCTCTCTCTCTAGGATTCTTCTCACGCATGAGCACGCACTAGAATGCTTTTCTAGGAACCCTACCACTTCCAGGTGTATCAGCATACCCAAAAGCTTAGAAAAGCCATCGCAAATTGCCTAGATTCCCAACTTAGACTTCCTCATACACAAGTGCTCAAACAAGCACACTCTAGCACTCCCCCAAGATCTCTAGGAACACTCACCCCCACCCAACTATCAGTTGCGAAAGAAACTTCTACTAATACCAACTAACTATCTTATGAATACAATTACGTGCAACAAAACTTAAATAATCTTTCGACCAAAAGACCCACCCCTACAACGATTAGAATCAGAAGAGAGCTGCGCAATAGGGCCGAATCAATCATTCTAAGATTATTTACCCTTTGCAACATGTAACTTAACATATTCACTTAATAGCTAACTAACATCAATATAAGTTTCACAAAGCACAAAAAAAGCAACATTCAAGCATAAAACATCAATAAGCAACAAGGCATCAAAAGGATTAGGTAATTCTAACACGCAATTCCTGAGGATCCTTAGCCTACACATTATTAGGGGTGAGCATTTGGACCGAACCGGACCGGACCGGACCGGTTATGGAGAATATTGTGGACCGTGGACCAGACCGGAGGAGTCATGTCCGTGTCCGTGTCCGGGTCCGGGTCCAGGTTCGGGTTTTCCGGTTCTTGGACCCGTTTGGACCGGTACAACTTTAATTGCATAGAGTACAAGTCGTTAAAATAAGTTTTTGGGTTTGATAGAACTCGTTAAAACGAATACGTTATTGGGTTTGATACGATACAACTTGTAAAAATGATTACATTTTCGTTTCATGCATAAGTAATCTACCTTGATGTTATAATATTATAACTTACAAAATTAATTTTCTAAATAAAAGCAACTAACATATAAATTAAGTTCACCAAGATCCCTTTTATATGATTTATATGTCAAAGATACATAAAATTCAGAATTATAGTCTAAAATAATAGTTAAAAATAATAACTAAATCAAGTTCAGAATTATAGTCTAAAATAATAGTTAAAAAGTTGAATTATTTCAGTTTTGATAGCTCAACTTTGAAGGATTGTAACTCACTAAATATAATACCAAAATCAACAAGATTATAGTCTAAATTCATCTACAAACTGTAAGCTAAATGTTGGAAAAAACCGCAGGTCAATCTGACTTGAAACGAATTAGTTATGGTTGTTTAAAAAATTTCACAGATTACAAAATTTTAAAAATCTTGCTAAAAAGCTGAAAATTTTCAGCTTTGATAGCTCAACTTTGAAAGACTGTAACTCATTGAATATAATACCAAAATCAACAAAATTATAGTCTAAATTCATCTACAAACTGTGCATTAAACGTTGGAAAAAATCGTGTATCAATCCGACTTAAAACGACTGAGTTATGGTTGTTTAAAAATTTTCACAGATTACAAAATTTTAAAAACGTTGCTGAAAAGCTGAAATTTTTCAGCTTTGATAGCTCAACTTTGAAAGACTATAACTCATTGAATATAATACCAAAATCAACAAAATTATAGTCTAACTTCATCTACAAACTGTAAATTAAATGTTGGAAAAAACCACATCTCAATCCGACTTAAAACGAATGAGTTATGGTTGTTTAAAGTTTACAAAAAAACGTTTAAAATCGGGTCCAACCGGTTCTAAACCCGGTAAAAACTGGACCGGACCGGGAAAAAAACTGGACCGGTTTTGATGGATTCCTAGAACCGAGAACCGGCCCGGGGGTCTAAAAAACGGTCTGGTCCGGTCCGGTTCACCGGTCTGGTCCGGTCCACCGGTCCAAATGCTCACCCCTACACACTATCCTGCATCTCTAACAGCTCAAATATCATAACAAAAAGGCATCTCTCCTAAGCAGGCACTCTGGCATGCAACCCTAAGTAGATCCTTAGCCTAACAATATCACGCACATCATACTATAACACATATAACATCAAGTCAAATACAACATATATAAAGCAAGTATGGATATTTTGGGAAATCACTTATTCCGAGCACCGGCTGACTGTACACATCGCATCTTCTCTTTTCTGCTCTTAAAATGAATCTTTTCTAAAAAGGCTTATAAAAATCTCAGCTCCATAGTTTGAGTTTGGAATCCCACGAGTGTTCATCCAAATCCCTTAAACAATGGCTCTGATACCAACTTGTACCATCCCAAAAACCCATACTAATTTTTTGTTTTTATCATCCATTTTTAATAAGGTTACATTGAGGATAAATCATTAACCATTATTCAAAAATCAGAGTTATAATGAAGACAGTGCGGAATCTCGAATCATAAAGCTGCTGATGTGTTTGTACAGTCCCGCCTTCGAAATCCGATAAGTACTTGCAAAGTAGATAATCCACAACTGTAAGCACAAAGTTTAGCGAGTTCCTCAAAATACCACATACAACACATCATAATAATCAGCTAATAGTTATCAACAAACTTTGGATACTATCAGCGGTCCCAATGGGCTAACAGCATGCCCGGTGGATTAATAGCACACCTCACGGGTTATCAGCAACCCTGGGGACTAACAGCAGTTCCATGGACTTACAATAGTCAGGAGTTATCAGCAACTCATTTCACATATAACAGAAATCAACAAATAAGACCCAACTGGTCGACATGCATATACTACCACACAGGCAAGTATAGTGAGTAGGCTCACCTAAATGAAGAGCTGAAACCCCCTACTCTTAGCCCCTCAAAATCAGCTACACGAACCTCCTAAACCAATAACAAGCTAAATCTCGGGCTATAGCTCAATACCTCTCCAAGTTTGACTAAAAGTCAAACTAGTCAAAAAGTCAACAGTCAATGATCAAAGTCCACTTCAACAGGTCATCACGCCGTGGCCTTCCATTGCCACGTTGTGGGAGAGAAACGACAAAATAGTCGGGCATCCCCCAGTCGCCACGTCGTGGCCTTCATTTGCCACGTCGTGGGAACTGGGTCTCGACAACTTAATGCATTAAGTTGTTTTCCTTCAACCTCAAGAGCTCTGAAGCTCAGATCTAGTCTTTCCCAGGGTCTTGATGGATAAAGTTTTCATCTTTACCTATTAAGACATCCCAATGAGTATAGATCCCTAAACCTAGATCCTTAATGACAACTTAAGGCTTGGACTCAACCATTAAGCTCTTAATAACCAAAACCGCAAATCCATAACTCCCAGAAGGACTTCTTACTTCTATTCCAACATAAAATTGCAACTTTATGGGCACACACAACAAATGGAAGTCTAGATCTCAATCTAGGTCAAATGGGGCAAAAGACCAAAGTCTCATACATGGAGCTCAAAACACAATCAAACTTCGAATCCAAAAGATATAGTGACCAGGGCACCAAGATGAGCTATAAAGTTGCAAACTTTATCTCATCACACCAACCCAAACTTGAATATGAACCAAGAAATTCAATAAATCTTAGATCTATGAAGAGAGAAGCGAAATGTGGAAGCTTTATACCTTCCAAAGCTTCACAAGATGCATGAGGTGCAAGATCTGAAGTGATGCACTCTTTCAACTAGCAAGCATGTCACTCCATCTTCAAAAAATGCAAGCCAAAGCTTCAAACTTCAAGAATCACCACTAATACAACAAGATTCACTCCAAGAAGGCTAGGGTTTCGTTTGAAAGGGGTGGATGCTGAAAGGATGCCCTAATCCATATGATTAGGTGTTTAAATATGGAAAAAAAAAATCCTAAAAATCATGGGACTGGGTCGCCACAACTGCCACATCGTGGCCTTTCCTTGCCACGCCGTGACGACCAACTAAACACGCGATCATGCATAATATACGCCACATCGTGGTCTCCCATCACCACGTCGTGGCACCTAGTTTTCCCAAAAGTCGTGTCTCTGATCCCACCAACCCCTCACCTGATCCATTATGGGAACGGGTGTTACAATTCGCGTTGTGACCGAGTTGGAAAACAATTGGTTGGACTGATTTGGAAACGATGTACATGTAGCTTTGTTGGATTACCTTATGTTTCATAATTTTTAGAAAAACGATAGGGTACTACCGTGTATGATTGTGGTTGTTATCTTGATTATATAAATTTTAACGATCGATAATTTGATCTCTCGTTAAAATGCCAATTTACAATCTAAATATTATTCTTTTTTTTAATTTCTTAGTTTTTATTTATATTTGTAGATTTGAATTTTGTTGTTAGTATTCTTACAAACTCAAGTGAAGAGAATGAAAAATATAAATGAAATCAAAATTATAAAATGTTTCGAATTAATGGGGAAAGCCTAATTTTTAAATTTTTCTGAATTAAATTGTTTATGTTTTGTCCACATGTTCATTAAATGAAAAGAAACAAAGCAATGACAAATCAAAATTATCATATTAATAAACATAGGAACTCTATACATGATTGGGATACAAACATGATTTTGTACATACAAAGTTCCATTTGTAGTTTGGTACTACACAAGATCGATCAAGAACTCTTTTCCACCAGATCCTCCAGCACAACTGATCGAGGGCTAACCATCGGAGGTCCCTTCTCCCGGCGTTCGAGTTCATCCAGCTTGAAAGTAATCAACCGATCCCAATTCCCACCTTCAAAAAGCACCCCAGCCTTTCCATCAGTAATCCTTTGCACAATCCCACAATACATGTGGTAAGGACTGTTTGGATTCTTGACAATTGCGATCATTCCAGGCATCAACAATGGCAATTCCGGCGCTTTTGGTTTCCGGACCAAGCTCCCATTGAAACCTGATGTTGTTGTTGATGGTGGTGGTGGCTTTTTAGGAGGTGGGTTCTTCTCAATGAAATCTCTGAGACCCTTTTCACCACCTGGGAATCCGCCTGTTAGGCCTAATAGCTCCTTATCAAATCCATCTTCAGGTATAATTGATGTGGCAAGATCTTCTTGATCGGAGGTAGTGGTGGGTGGCGGTGGTGATCTTTCCGGTGGGGGCTTTTTCAGTTCCTGTTGAAGGCCTTCTTCTCCATTCAATAACCCTCTGCCTCCCAAGATTTCGTAAAGATTGAATTTTGCAGATGGGTTTATGATTTGATGAGATGATTGTTTTGATGATTTGTGAGAGTGGGTGAGATTGATGAACTGGGTTTGTCCGAGAAACTGAGATTTGTGAAGGAGAGGACCTTGAAAAGTTGGGAGATTAAAGGAAGTAGCCATTTGAGCCTTTGAGAAAGAGGAGAGAGAGAGAGAGAGAGAGAGCTCAAAGGTAAAGAGTGAAATATGGCTTCAATGGATGCCAGCCACAAGTTGTAGGTCGATGATAGTTTTGCTATCTTAGTCAATCTCTTCGTTTATGTGGCTTTTTGTAAGAATTTAGTTCTTTTTCATTGATAGATAAAAGATCTATCATCCATTCATCCATATAAAACGTGTCTTTTAGAGCTCTAATTTATTGCTTATAATTTTTTAGTTATTTTATTTAAAGAAAAACAATAATTTACCAATATACTACTGGTATCATATTTAATATATTATTATTTCCAAGATTAAGAAAGAAAAAGAAAATGTTTCATATTTGATGAACCAATTCATACTTAAATTAAAATCACGTGTTTTGATCCAAAATTATTTTGACCTATTTTGTCCCCTCTTATTAAATAGTACAGAGTCTTGATGGGGTTCGAATGGATAATATTTCTTCCTATGGTTTTGTCAAAAGAAGGTTAATAATCTATATGTAAAGGGATAATGACTTAAAAGGGTAACATATTATTCGATTTGTACACATTTGGTCACTGAGTTTTTTTTTCGTCCACATTTACCTCTTAAACTTGTTAAACTGTACACATTCAGTCCTTATGACCTGTTACTCCAGGTTAGCCGGGAAAAATGACTTGATAGGGTAATATATTTTTCATTTTGTACACATTTACTCCTTAATATTTTTGTATATATTTAGTCCTTAACATTTTTTTTGTTTCAAAATAAGTCCTTTTTTGTACTCATTCAGTACTTTTGAATGATTTCTTTAGGTTTTTTTCACGACATTTTACGTGAGACAATCATTGATGAGGTGCTTGGGGTTGTTGATGCTTATGTCCAATGCGATCTCGACTGTTTGGTTGCGTAAGTCTTGTGGTTTGGCTTAAGTCTTGTATTTTGAACATCGTAACTTCTTCATACGATATCAGATTTTAAGGATCTTTATCCACGTGTTCATTTTTTGAGTCTACTACAACTTTCATTAAAATTACTCCCGTTAAAATGTAATATATTTTTACTAACGATTTTATAAAAAAAAACATACATACATGCATTCATAAAAAACGTATGGACAGGGGAAGACGCAGTAATACATAGTAGGTGTTGCCGAGATGAAATAGGTGTTGTCGATACATGGAAAATATGTATAAACGTAAAAAATAAAGCGAAAATTTTTCCACTGCGAACAGAAAAAACAGGTGTTGTCGGTGCAACACCGGGACCATACTAAATCCGCCACCGCGTATGGATATAAAAATCGTAAGTAAAAATATATTATTTTTTAATGGGAGTAATCTAAATGAAAGTTGTAGTAGACTAAAATACGAACGCATTAATATAAAGATCGTTAAAATCCGAGATCATATGAAGAAGTTATGACGTTCAGAACACATGACCTAAGCAACCAAGTAGTCGAGATCGCGATAGATATATGCATCAAAAGCCCCATACACCTCATTAACGAATGTCTCACGTAAGATTTCGTGAGAAAAAACTAATAAATCATTCATAAGTACTGAATGAGTACAAAAAAAATGACTTATTTTGAAAAAAAAAAAGGACTAAATGTGTACAAAGTGATAAATATATTACCCTATTAAGTCATTTTTACCGGGTAACCTGGAGTAGCCGGTCATAAGGACTGAATGTATACAGTTTAACAAGTTGAAGGGGTAAATGTGGACGAAAAAAAAAACTCAGTGACCAAATGTGTACAAATCGAAAAATATATTACCCTTTTAAGTCATTATCCCATTTACGACTACCGTGATAAGTTTTTGATAACTTTTAAACTTTGTACCAATTAGCTTTTATTTGGAAAAAAAATCAAATTAAAGATAAAGTCTCAATACATAAAGTTTTTATTTTAAACATAATTCTACTAATCCAACATTTTGAGAACTTTTAGTTTCACCTTATATGTATTATGTATTTTCATTTTTTTTAAACGGAAAACTACAAAAAATCATTACATATTGGTTATATATTATATATATATATATATATAATATATATATATATATATATATATATATATATATATATATAGGGTTAGGTAAATGTGAGACGGCCTAATTTTGTGAGACCGTGAGACGCAATCCTAACCACTCATTTAGTAGATAAAAGAAAACATTTTTAAAATGCAAAATAATTGAAAATTTTCGAATTTTTTTTTTCAAATATTATTTTCGGAATTTATATTTTCCAAAAAAAATAAAAAAAATACCAAAATAAATACATTTTTTTACATATTCTAGTAGAATATTAGAATATTCTACATATCTGACAAATCTAATAGAATATTCTAACATTCTAAAAATCGCATTAAAATATTTACAGTGTAATATTCTATTAGAATATTTCACGTATTTAAAAAAAAAAGGAAATTTTTTATATTTTTTTAGGTAATTAAAGTTCCGAAAATAATAATTAAAAAAAGAATTTTTGAATTTTCCTTTTATTTTGCATTTTAAAATTATTTTTAGATTTAGTCTCACGGTCTCACAAAATTAGCATGGTCTCAAATAAACCTGAACATATATATATATATATATATATATATATATATATATATATATATATATTTTGCATTTTAAAATTATTTTTAGATTTGGTCTCACGGTCTCACAAAATTAGCATGGTCTCAAATAAACCTATATATATATATATATATATATATATATATATATATATATATATATATATATATATATAGGGGAAGGCTCATGCGAAAATATAAAGAATATACGAAAATGAAAAGAACCAATCATGAGATTACACATCATTGCTCAGTTCTTTTAATTATAAATCATATTAATTATGTAAAAATGTTATATATGTAATTTACAAGAAAACTGTATCCCCTCTTTAATCGGTTTTCATGTATTAACTGTACCAGAATAACTTCTTCATAAACAACAATCAATAACTTTTGAACATCTTCATGAAGTCAATAAATAACTGAATCAATTTCTAATCGATATCTTTCCTAATATAATACATTTAAATACCAATGTTATACAATTCAATTAAAATAACTGATTAGCTATTGAATATGTAATTTCCATTCAAATATAATGAAAAACGACATCAACGCCAACATACAAAATCTTTAACACTGGTAGTTGATGTTGATATTTGGAAATAAATTATGATTAATTAAATGTCATAAAGTAGCTTCTAGTTTACAAAAAATGCATGTTTTCTTGGTTATTCATCAAATATCTAACAATAAGTAGATTCAAAACTGAAGATGATAAGGTACCTAGTGTTGACCATATCGATTTATACATCAAAAACTCTTTCTATGACTATACATCAAAAACTTTCTATATCGGAGATATCACTCTCATCAAAACTCCCAAGGGGCTCTCTCTCGCATATGTTATTAGAGAAAGAAAAACGAGTAATATACTATAAAAAACACAATTTCTTTGACATATCTTTCAAAGGAGATCATCACCACCATTATTGGCCAACAGCAGCAACTTGCTTCTTATTTTCACCGTTTTCTTCTTTTGCAAATTCATCCATTAATTCACGTTGTCTCTCTGTTAAACTTCTGAATAACACATCAATAAAAATAAATCAGCAACATATAAAGCAATAAAATTCAACGATGTACATGGTTAAGCAAGAAAACTCATATCGATCTCCATACGAATAAAAGGTTTTAGATATAATGCCTAATATAGAAACAAATCAACAATACAAGTTTGTTTCAACACACTAACTATTAAAAAAAATAAACACATTATTTCAAAATACAATTCCAAATGAAACAACATTTTGTAAAAAGAAAAGTGACGATATGATTAAGTATCATGATGACCTACATAGTCTCCATTTATGTTATCAAATCTCGATCCATAATTTCAACAAGTATGTTATTTGTTTATGATATATTTATGAAATTATGATCCACTTGTTTTACAAAAGTTGTGTATTAAAGATCATTTTGTTGTTTACTGTCAAAACACATGTTATCATTTTCAGCAAAAGGATCATAACTATAATTTCAAAAAAGATTAGCATGGATTCTTGACTCTTATAATTTCCGGTTTTTTAACCGAGTTTTTATGGACCGACCGTCATAGTAATTCCGGTCCGACTCCAGTCCGGTTCTAAAGTTCATCCCTATGCACAAACATGATGACAAATCAAGGTAAAATACAATTAAACATGCAGAATAATAAAAATAAAATAAAATAACTAGACAATATATGATCATTACCTTTTGTGTATGTTGAAAGAGGGCAGAAATTTGAGTTTTTCCAACCACAACTGCCACTCCTGCTGCTAGAAGGTTTAAATTCCAAACAAGTCAATCCCTACATGATAAATTACCATTTTAGCCCCCTTTTTCATCAACTCAAATACTTAATCATGTCACAACACACGACATAACATATTAGACAAAATGCAACTTATGATTACCATTGGTTAAGCATAATATGAGTTGAGTTGATCTCAAAATAAAATATATTGAAATAGGTTGATCATAATTAAGTTCCTCAATGGAAGAAAATGGAGTCATTGTTTGCAATTTGCATAGTACATTTCAATTCAGTCAACATAAGAAGCTCCACTTTTTTAATGGTTTTTTCTTCAAATACAAATCTGGATTCACACACCTATAAATTCATTCAAATACTCAACATCAAAATCTATTTTAAAATGACACCACAAAAAAAAAGTCAACATCTTTATCATGAAAACAAGTTGGACCTGCAAATCTGCAATTGCATCATCCAAGCTTTGTCTTTTTGTTCATTAAATAACTTAGTATTGAGCTATAAACCATGATAAAATAAATAGTAAGCTTACAGGGAATTCATAGATAACAAGAAATATATCCAAGTAGTTGATTGATAGATATGCATACAAGGGTCCAAAGTTGAAATGAGCCTGATCCTGCTCCGAGTCAAAAGCAACAACAAAAACTGTTAGCACCA